CTGCAACTAGTTAAGAAGCTATCTTTAGTTCAACTTATATATATTTTATTTATAGATTGTTATTAATTTATTTATATTTTGTATTCACTTTTTTTATTATAAATATAATTTGTCTGTTCTGTAAATTATTCTTCAGATCTGAATACTTTTAAACATAAAAATAATCATAAGTTATAAAATTAAAACTTATTTATATTACATTTTATCCTATTTACAATTATTAATAAAATAATCTTATAGAATCTATATACTAATTCAAAGAAAATTTAAAAAAAGATTATTTCTTATTTTACTAAAGAATATTATTCTAATATAAGTTTGATATATATATTACAAAGTTATTTTAACTATTTAAAATTGATATAAAAAATTTTAAATACATTATACTTTTTAATAAAAGTTACTTTTCAAATAAGATAAGCAAAATATTTTATTTATATATTAATAATTGATATAGTATCTATAAAATTATTAATAAGTATCTATGTAAATAAAAATTTATTATTTTTAATTTAAGTATATCTTCTAAGTATCTACACAAAGCACAAATTGATTAAGATATATTAATTAATTAACTTAATAAATAGAGCAAGATTTTAGATAGTTTAAAAATTTTTTATTTTTTATAATTCTATCTTTTTTTAATCTCATATTATAATTTTTTATTAATTTTGATACATTTCTTATATTTTATAATAATTTCTCATATAAATTTATCAAAAGTTTTTTTTATTAAATTATTGATATAAATATTAATCTTTTTCTTAATTTGATAATTGATCTTATTCTTACTTATAAAGCAAGAGTACTTATATATCTGATTATATATATAAATTAGAATAGTATCTTAAATTTGAAATTCTTGATTAGTTATTTCTATATTATATACATGTGATAAATTTTCAAGTGATTCTATAATTTTAATTTATTTTTTATACTTTCTATTTAATTTTTTTTTATATATCTTTAATATATGATACAAATAATTTTCAATTTGATTACATTTTTCAGAAATTTGCTCTGAAATAATAGAGAATCTAGAATGATATAAAAGTTTATAATATACTCTTTTAATTAGACTTTTTAAAAGTTTTGCTATAATAAGATTATAATCAGAATAAAATATTAATTATTAGTTTGGATATAAAAAGTTTATATATAAAAATTTCAGAATAAAAAAGATAAATATATATAAAGTAATTATATTTTGATAAAGTCTTGATAGTTATTATTGAGATATTAATTTAAATTCTATATTTACTTTAATATCATATATCATTACTTACTATAAATTACTTTATATTCTTGTTATCTTAATAAATTTAAAATATAGTTATATAATCTATTTTGTAATTAATATTTCTTAGTATCTGTCTATCTTTTAGTACTATAATAATGAAATATTCAGGTAAATTTTGAACATATGCTGATATATCTTTAGCTAGAATCATTCTTTTATTATAGCTAACATAAGAAGTCTTAGAAACTCTTATTTTTTGAGAAGTTATATCTAAAAACTTCTTGTTTTTAAAAGTATTCTCACTTCTGATTGCTTTTCAGATTCTATTAGATTCTGATTCTTGTATATTTATCTCAAGATTTAGATTTATTACATTCATTATTCCAATAACTCATTATCAAATCACTAGGTACAAGATGATTAATATATCTTTATCTGATAAAATGAAATGATTTTTTGAACTGTACATTATCAATTTTTATGAATTTCCAGTAATTAAAACAAATAGCTATATGACTTTTGTGAATTCTTGGCATATAATAATTGAAATAATCAAATTTATCTTTATCAAATAATGCAAATAAACATAACCAGTAATATATACTAAATTTACCTGCATTTAATAAATTCTATAAAGATACTCTGATCTGTATTGCCCATTAAACTGGTATTTCATTCTATTTTATGATAGATAAAGCATCAAATGATCTCTCATTATTGAGGAGTTTGTCATATCATTTTTCATCAAAAGCAAAATAATTTCTAATATATGACATGACATATTTCATATCATATTCAGGACAAATATTAAAGGATTTGGATAATGTTCTATCATTCTTATCAAGAATAGTCGTAATATCAAAACCAGACATATTTATCACTATAGAGAATAATATATTTAGTGATTTTAGCATTTTTGACCTATTAGATTTGGTATAATATATATGATTAAAACCAGATTCATTTTTAGTACAGATTGGATTATTAGATGAGTTATGTATATTCGTCATATTTTGCGAGTGATGTATACGATGGGAATGGGAGAAATACATATTGGATGCATTACAAATATGCGCGATTAAATAATCACGGTTCTCGGATTGATCGGTAATACATACTGTACTGTATATTTAATCAACATATCACATGATATAAGACTATTCCCTTGAGGAATGATCACCCGGAAAAATTTCTGCCGAAAAGTAATGTGATACACGCATTGTGAAACTGAATACATTTCTCACATCCTGCCCCATTTATCATTTTTCGCATTTTTCTTGTGTATCATTCCGCAGTCTATCAATAAAAATCCATCAAAAAATTATATATAACTCAAAATGTCTATTACTTTGGTCTGTTTGGTTAAAGGAAACTTACCTGCAAATGCTTTCGCTGTTGATATTGATAGTGGCAAGTTAGTGAGCCACTAAAAAAGATTATTAAGGCCGAGCTTCACCCACAGTTCGAGCATGTTACGGTCAAAGACATTAAGCTGTGGAAGATGAAAATATCTGACGAGCATGATTCTGAGTTGTCCAATCCTGAATTAGCTAACGAACTTCTAGTAATGAAAAAGATTTTGAAATATTTCCCTAACACACCAGCCAAAGAATGTATTCACGTCATAGTCAAGCCATCAGAGTTTGTGAAAGAGATTAACTATACCGCTTCATATGGTCGCAATAATATGGTAAATTTTTAGTGGCCTACAAACCGGGTTAAAACCACACTAGCAGCGCTTAAATCTTGTCTTCACACCTATTTCACTTTTCCCGACAGCACTGAGATTGAGAATATAATCATAAGCTGTGAGATTAGTAGTGGAAATAATCGCACAACCACTCGAATTCTGAACGATATAGACTTAGCGAATATAATCTGGGGCGATTTTTCAAGGGTGATTTAGTATTCGTTGTCGATATGTCATGAAACATAAAGCCTCACAATCGATTCTCAGTGCCAATGAGACAACACGTTGCGAATTCATTTCATCAGTCATCTATAGTGTCATGTCAGTATTCAATGGTGAAGTCAAGATTTGTCTGCAATACGAAATATCAGGAAGCTATGGGAAGGGCCCAGTTGATTGGACAATCAAAGTGCGCGACATGATTATTGTAATTACAGAGGTGAAGTGGGAAGATATTAATCAAGATGTAGGCCAGTGTACGATTCAACTTCAAGCATCCATGCAACGCAATAAAAAGCGCTCCTATGATACAGC